CGTGAGTCCGTGCATGAATCTCGCCGATGCGTAGTCGAGTACGATTTCACAATCGCGGAACTCGCAGGACATCTTTTGCCAGCACCAAACGACTCCGCCTATGCATCGGCACGATTGAACCATGAATCAATGCTAGGAAAAAGTTAGGGCGACCACCAAATTAAAATAGGTACCTGTGAGTCGGTTGCTGTAGAGCCACAGACTCTGCAGTTCAATGAGATCTCGTAGCTCTGGCGAGATGTTGCCTGCCAGACGAAGGGAAACTTATAAAAGGTTGGCGGGAGAAAACGAAATTGATGCCCCGGCGTCTAGACCAATCGTCCTGCCAACAAATAGGCGGGGCAAGCTGTACGGAGATGAGTGGTCTTGAAAATGGAGAGGCGGTTCAATGTTATATTTATTTTTAAGAATTCCCTCTTGATTTCCATTACACTCCTGCTTTCAGGCCCCATCCCATCCCAGCTGGGGAACCTTTCAGCATTGCAGAATCTTGACCTTTCCAACAACAAGCTGAGCGGTGAGTCAACACGGTATTTTGTAGCTCTTCCCGGTCGATTTGCGTGAGTCCGTGCATGAATCTCGCCGATGCGTAGGTGAGCACGAAGTTCCACAATCGTGGAAGTCGCGGGATATGTTTTGCCAGCACCAAACGACTCCGCGTATGCTGTCTCGAAAATAGAGGGGCGGCTTAATGTTATCTTCATTTCCCTCTTGATTTCCATCACACTCCTGCTTACAGGCCCCATCCCATCCCAGCTGGGCAACCTTTCAGCACTGCAGAGTCTTGACCTTTCCAGGAACAAGCTGAGCGGTGAGTCAACACGGTATTTTGTAGCTCTTCCCGGTCGATTTGCGTGAGTCCGTTCATGAATCTCGCCGATGCGTAGGCGAGCACGAAGTTCCACAATCGCGGAACTCGCGGGATATCTTTTGCCAGCACCAAACGACTCCGCGTATGCTGTCTTAAAAATAGGTAGGCGGCTTAATGTTATCTTCATTTCCCTCTTCATTTCCATCACACTCCTGATAGGGCCCATCCCGTCCGAGCTGGAGAACCTTTCAGCACTGGAGCGTCTTGACCTTTCCTTTAACGAGCTGAGCGGTGAGTCAA